TAGTATATAACACCACAAATCAAAGGGCAAGTGTGGAAGTTCCAGATCAGATCCGTCTTTGGAAAAACTGTACCCCAAGATCAGCTCAAGTTAGGAAGTGATAAGCTAGAGTCTAGCATGCAAGAGGAGGAAAGGGGAGGTACTGAGTGTTGACAAAACTTGACTGAACTGGCCAGGACAGGCTAAGCACCCATCTGTGCTAGGTCTTGTCCTTTGCCCTTAGACCTGCTAGATCAGCTTTAGCAAAAATGCTTTTATGGCAGTTTTGCAAGCATATCATCTCTCCTGTCTTGATATCTGAACTTTCAATCTCGACATCAGCAACATTAACTCAGTCTTAACAGAAATCTGCCGTCCCCTTGATGTCTTCTACTTGATAACTGTAACTCCTCAGGTGTCTTTATTATATTAGAAATTGAGTCCAGTTGTATACTGAAATTTCTTTTTCTCTAGTAGTTCCAAAATAAAAGTTATTCTGGCCTCTTGCATTATTATCTCACTCTAGTGTTATCTTACAACATGAAAAACTATATATATATATATATATATATATATATATATATATATATCTTAAGTCATCCTGATAGGCACATACTAATGATAATATAAATTAGCATAAGTTCTAAAGGTAATTGCACATGATTCTCTCTCTATAAAGATTTCCACAGCATTATTTGTGGAAAAAAATCTGAATATTCATATGTATGTATATATGTTATAGTATGCAAATTATTCATTTGTAGAAAATACAGCTCATGAAGTATTTATGAAGAGTTACAATATCCAATAGCATTCTTATGAAACCATGACTATGGAAAAATGATACAATATACATAAAATTATGGCCTCAATGAAATCTCTCTGCAGATGGTATTTCTTTAAAACATACAGATGTGTGTTCAAATGTACATACACACATGACTGAAAGGACAGCAGTATGTGAGAGAATCTTGCTGGGTATGGTAACTCATACCTTTAATCCCAGTACTAGGGAGGTAGAGGTGGGTGGAACTCTGTGAGTTCGACACCAGCCTGGTCTGTTTAGTAAGTTCCAGGACAACCTGGGCTACAAACTAGAGAGACCTTGTCTCAAAACAAACATTAGAGGCCAGGTGTGCTAGCTCACTTCTATAATATCGGCACTCGAGAGGCTGAGGCCAGAGGATCACAAAGTTGAGGACAGCCTAAGCTAGAGAGTAAGACCTTGCATCAAATGGGGAAGCCCCAAAGCCAGAATTCCTGGCTATAAAGATGAACTACCCAACTTGAAATGGTGCTTATTAAAGGAAAGTCTCTAGGGCAGTGGTTCTCAGTCTTCCTAATGCCGCAGCCCTTGAATACAGCTCCTCATGTGGTGGTGACCCCAACCATATAATTATTTTTATTGCTGCTTCATAACTAATTTTGCTACTGTTATGAATCATAATGTAAACGTACGTACATGTTCTGGTGGTTTTAAGTGACCCCTGTGAAAGGGTCAGCTGACTGGGGGGTCACGACCCATAGGTTGAGAACCAGCGTGCTGGAGGCTTTCCAAGCCTAGGTGTTTCCAGAATCTAATTAGAAAGGGTAAGGGTATAGTGGGTCCAATGTCATTTCTCCCCTACCCTCTCATGCGGGGACAGGCATGATACAGGGGGTACCAGGATCCTTTTATCTGTGTACAGGTTTATCTGTGTGTTAATGTGGGTATGACTCCAAAAATAGTGTTATTTTCTTATTACAAAATGTAGTATACCTGCACTGTTAAAAATACTAAAAACCTGAAACAGAATTTGCTGAAAGCCAGGCAGGTGGTGGTGGTGGTGGCGGCGGCGCATGCCTTTAATCCCAGCACTCAGGAGGCAGAGCTAGGCGGATCTCTGTGAGTTCGAGGCCAGCCTGGGCCACACAGAGTGAGATCCAGGGCAGGCACCAAAACTACACAGAGAAACCCTGTCTCGAAAAAACCAAAAATAAATAAATAAATTTTGCTGAAACGGCACTGTGGCAAAAGACTGAAGTCAAGTAGTGGAGGGAACCTGACCCCCACCCCCCACCCACTTCGTACCCCCCCCCCCACAACCCCGTAAATCTTCCGAGAACTGCAAGCGCTCATTTCCGCTGTTCTGTGGTAAACCACTTCTGCTTCGGCTGCAGAAATGCAATGTGGCTAGAGAAGGTGGGGGGGGGGGCGCTCAGGGGGTTAAGTTGCTCTGAATAGTAACAAAGAAAAAGGCCTCCGATGGCACCTTCCTTTTTGGAGATTAGTTCTAGGAGACTGAAGAAAACGCCATTGATCATTTGGGTATTGTGCTCGTTCGGTTTTTGTTAACTTTTGACACAAACGGGGGTCACCAGGGAAGGGAACGGAACCTCGGGCAAAGAACTGCACCCACCAGACTGGCCTGTTGGCAAGTCCGTGGGGCATATTTTTGATTCATAATTGACATGGGAGGGTCCAGCCCACTGTGGGCGGTGCCAACCCCTAGGCAGATGGTCCTGGGGATCGTAGGAAAGTGAGCGGAGCAAACCTGTAAGCAGTAGTTCTTCTCAGTTTCTGCTTCGGTCCCTGCCTCCAGGTTAGCGCTCGAGTTCCTGCCCCGACTTCCCTCACTGATTGGGTGTGGTGTGGAGTTATGAACCCTTTCCCTCCCGCCAAGTTGTGCCGACCCATGTTTGATCACATTAACGGAAAGAAAACTAGGACCGATTTTAAGGTGATAATGTTCACTCGCGTGTGCATGTGCGTGTGTGTGTGTGGTGCATGTGGTGCTCAAGCAACCACTAAATTTGCTCATGTGGCGGGTTATGTTTCTTGTTCTGTGTTCAAAACCCAGACAGTGTAGCTAACAGACCCGGAGGATGGAAAGTAAGCTACAAGGAAGAGCCTACTCACTGCTAATGATTAGCACAGCTATCCAAACGTTGCTTCTGCGCCTCAGCCAAGAAAATGCTTAGTCTTTACTGATAGAATGCTACCAGAAACCGTATCCTAGACAGAATTTGAGATTGATTATACGTGTCTAGCAAGGCCATTTGCTTAGGTAGCAATAGCAATGCTGCTGTAAGTGTCCGGTCTTTTACTTAATCCTCTCCTATCTGAATCTAGACTCAGAAAAAGGGGGGGGGGGGGAGAGAGAACTTTTGCTAGATCAGTGGTTCTCAACCTGTGGGTCGTGACCCCGTTGGCAACCCTCTGTCTCCAAAAATATTTACATTATGATTCATAACAGGTATCAAAATTACAGTTCTGGTGTAGCGATGAAAATGATTTTATGGTTGGGGGTTCACAACATGAGGAACTGTACTAAAGGGTTGCAGTGTTAGGAAGGTTGAGAACCAGTGTGCTAAGTGAAAGCTGTTATCTCTGCCCTTCCCATGTATCCTCTCCTGTTGACCCCAGACCTTTCTGTGCATCTGGTTCAGGTCAACAGCCTGTACTGTAATTGCTCTTAACCTCATCTCATAGCTCCCTTCATGGTTAAACTCGTAATTGTTTTTAGCAGCTTTTTATATCATTAACCCTAATACACACAGCGGGAGTTTAATGTATTGAATTAAGGTTTGTTTGATCTTCCCAGGTTTCTAAGAACTTAGAGTATGCTAAGCTGTTCAAGGTCTCACAGCCAGTTGCTGGTCAGAAACAGAAAAGAAACTAAAACACCCCCACCCCACCCTTCTCCCTCCCCCCTTCACCAAGCATGCCTGGGGGTGTACATCTCACAATTCCACCTCTGAATTTTGCATAAAGTCATGATGCTAACCAGACACAATAGTCCCCTCCCACTTCAGTCACTCATGGTCAACCACCATCTAAAAATATTACATAGAATATTCTAGAATCAAACAATTCATAGGTTTTAAGTTGTGCACTGTTCTGAAGAATGTGGTGAAATTTTGTGCCTCGGCAAATTATTCTGTACTGAAAGTCACCCCACCTTTGTCCAGAACACAGTATGTACATACTGTGGTTTTGGTCACTGGTCATTAGTCACTTAATAACTTAACAGTTTACTTTTTCAGATAAACTTTAGGTATTGCTGTCCATGTCCTAGAAACCTTTATTTTACTTAATAATGCACCCCCCCTGCATATATGGTGATTCTGGCAAGTTTATCAGTAAATACCCTTGATTAAATTGATTATTGTTAGTGTTATCTCTGACTGTGCGTAAGCTGTAACTTCAACTTTACCATTATGTGTAGGAAAGTAGTCTGTACAGAGCACTCACTCAGACACTCACTGAAAAAGCAGGGACCACCACAGCTTGCACATAGGAGTCCAACAAAAAGGTTTTACAAAAACATTTGCAAGCCTTTTGGTGGAGAGGTGAGATGGTCATCTTGGCTGACAAATTGACTCCATCTGGAATCAACAAAAACCCTAGCAGTTGGGCACTCGGGGGCGGGATTTTTTTTTTTAAATCAGATCAGTTGAAGTAGGACAAGTCACCCTAAACCTGAGCCACGCCTTCTCATAGCAGCTTACATGAAAGGACCTGGAAGAAAGTTGCTTTTTGCCTGCTTGCCCACCGTCTCACTGGTAAGTCCTCTCATTTCCTGTGGCTGTGGTTGATGTTAAACTCAGCCTCTTCAAGATTGCAGACAGAAGGGAATACTCCAGGGCTCCAACTCCAGAATTTGACTGCTGAGACATCCTGCCTCAGAGACTGAACAACTACCAGATTCTCAGGCTTACTGGCAAGAGACAACCATTGTGGGACCCCTCAGGCCACATCCTCTAAGCCAGTCTAATAAATCCCCTTTTAATACATGCCTTCTGTCATGTCTGTTCCTTTAGAGAGGCCTGAGTAATACAGGACTTATTTCTGAAGACCACAGGAATTCCTTTGGGACTATCTCCCATCTCCCATCTCAAAGCCTAACAATCTGTGTTCTCTAGCTGCTGTGTCATCGAGAGGCCCTGACGAGACAGGGTTAAGAGCAAAATGAGCTGCAAGCCATATATGGAGAAGCCCAGTGTGGAAGTTTCATAACAACTTCACGTTCTGCTTTCAGGCTTCTCAAGCTGACATTGACTGTGCTTTGCGAAGTTGGCCATAAAGAAGCAGAGGGCTGAAGATCTAGTGCAGTGGCAGAGCCCATGCCTAGCACAAGCGACCCTGGGTTCAACCTCCAGCACAGGAAGAAGAAAAAAGTCTGAAAGCTGAGAGAACCAAGCGTCCTGTCAAAACGCCGGGGTTCTTGTGTTCTAGGTCCATCTGCAGCCAGAGGGATCGATCATGCAGGCCCTCCTTGTTGTGATTGCCTGGATGGTTTCTTCCGTTTCTAGTGCTTCATATACAGCAAGTACTTTGCCAGACATAGCAGATGAGGATTTCATCAAAAAATGTGTTCAAATTCACAACCAGTTCCGGTCAAAGGTGAATCCAACAGCCAAGAATATGCTGTACATGGTGAGTGCACCAGCAGAACTTGTAGCACATGTCAGTCAGAAGCCGCTTGCCTGCATTAGGCTGGATGTGCATTCTGGGTCATCCTGAACGTTTTTTTTGTTTTGTTTGTAATGACTGTGTGCGTGTGATCAGAACCCACACGGTGAAGCCTTTCCCGGGCTCTGTCTTAAGCAATGCTACAGCCATGATTCGGTTTCGTGCTTCCGTGTGTGCATGCATATCCAGTTTCCCGGGCATCATTTGTCTAGCGCCCTCCTCTGTTCGTCTCCTTTCTGACCGCACTTTATATTTTTGAAGTCCAGATTGACAATTATTCTAGCACTGTTATTTTTGCTCAGACATCCTTTGGCATAGGGAGTCTTTTGTGTTTCTGTGTTCATTTTCTGTTTTTTGTTTTTCTAGCTTTAAGGAGAAAGCATTAGTAGCAAAGTAAATCTGTAAACATCTTTCAGCTGTACTGTTGTTTGAAAATACCCTACTCCATGAGCATGAACCCTACTCCATGAGCATGAACCCTACTCCATGAGCATGAACCCTACTCCATGAGCATGAACCCTACTCC